GAACGTTCGCTATGTTGAGCTCCAGTTAGCCGCCTTATCTCACTGTGCGAGAGGCAACTGCGTCATGCGTCACGGGCAAAAGGTCAAAGGTAACAAGGTGACCGGAAGGCTTATTATGTTGTACAAAAAGAAAAATCCCAACAAAAAAAAAATAATAATTTTAGTACATGTTATTATGTGTCAGAAGAGGGCTTCGGAAATAAAAATAAAAAAATAAAAAATTGCACCAAAAAGGCACTTGGGGGCAAGACGCAAAAGGGGCAGGTGCTCAAACACCCCCAGACCCTCCCTCTGCACGTGCCTGGTCAAGAACATCTATATACCATGTTAGAGCCCAACAAAGCCTCGGGTCTGGATAATTTGTTCAGCACTGCGTCTGACACTTGGGAGTTACAGCCACCACGAACTTCGCTTTTTCTTCCCCTCTCAAATCTACGCAGATCCTTTGGCTTCAGGGTTGTAGGTGTGAATGTACAAAGAAAAGGCTGAAACAAAATGTCAGCAGCAGACACTAAACTCTCCGTTTTGATTAATGGCAAGAGGCGCTTGGCTCCTGCACCTCCGCGCCTTCGTAAATCACACCATGGATCCTGTAATTAGTAAAGGCAACCTCAAGGGAGTTCGAAATGCAAGCTTGCAAAGCCTTGGAATGAGGTTGTTAAATCTCCGCAGAGGATTCCTAATTGAATCGGTGGTTGGTTTTTAATGGGCCATGATGATAGAGTGATTTTATTGCTGGTTGGATGGTTCGAGATGCAGTGTGTTGCTCTGCTGAATCTTCCAGCAGGTTCTGACACGTAGGTGGATATTTTCAGAGGTGATAGCTGCAGAGTGTTTCATAAACGTGGAATCCAGTTGGGTAAGAGACACCAGTGAAATGCACTTTGGAAGGAAGATTAGAGTTTTAACAAACTTTGTAAGTGGTGGATAAGAGTACTTGCCACCTGACTGAAGATGCACAGTGAGGGTTTAGGAAGTTTAGCCACATAAATTCACTGATGCAGGGCGAAAGGTTCTGGAGGTTAACTCCTGCTGGTTGGGATTAATCAGACCTATAATTACCGGTTAACTAACTTTCTTGAAATCACAGCCAGGTGCTTGGCAGGAAACGAGGTATGACTATATGAGGTCTGGGGTTCAGACATCTGCACATAATCCACACAAATCCACAAGCAAAAGAACACATTCAGGCTCAAACAGCACAAGCAAGCTGATCAAACATCTCAGCCTCAGTCAGTTCACCACATCTTCCTGAAATGACTTCTGCCCTGAAGCTTTCCCAATCGAGGAGCAACTCTGGAAAAGATGCTGGGATTTTCACATTTGTAACTCTGACAACCTGACTGAAGGCGGATGTGTTGAGTTGTGTTGTGAAACCTTTGTTTTGCTTCTTAAGCTCTGATAGACTGCACTCCTCATGTTGGAAATGTTTGATTTAATAAATATATTTTAGAGCTGTTGCTGCTGTAAAACTTGGATTTAGGTTTTAATACAAATCAAATGTGGGTTGTATAAGACAAAATTTTAACTTTTTAATATTTGAACTTCAGTAACGTTTGAATTTTGTTCTTATTGGTGTTTCTTGTTTTATCATTTTCACATTTACCCAAATCCGACCTTTTCAAAGCAGTCTGATTCCCATCTTTTCAACCCCGCCAAAAAAGTCAGATTTGTGGCTGTCACATATACTTATTCCGGATTCACATACGATTGTTTTCAAAGTGTCATTGATGATGTAAAAATCCTCAGTGACGTAAATAAGAAGAAGCCAGAAGCATGTAAGTGATACCTTAAAATTATAATTATAAACTTATGAAAGAAGTCTGTGTCAGTGAAGCACATCACAGTCCGACTTCCAAACAGACTTCTCTACAAAAATTGTAGTCAGTAGTACTCTACAAAAGATTACTGCTATTAGTTGTGCTTTTTCATTAGTTTTCTTCGTCTTATGATCTTGTAATGATACTGTAAGCTCCCATTGCTCAGTAATCTTTAATTAGATGTCAATAAATAATAAATATGATGCCAGGCAAAGGCTTGTTGCTCAAGTTATCAGTGAAAGTGAAAGACTAAAACAACTGGAAGTACAAGGTGGGAAGAGAGTTATTTTGCCACTGATGCAGATGCTATGGATGATATATATAAAAAAAATTAAAGTTCAAGAAGTGCTACAAATTTTTACCAGTGGCTTGAATAAATATGGTGGGAACTGAAGACTGAAGAGTCCAACCTCTAAGATGTATCCCCTCTTCACTATACAGGAGTCAAATTCCCTCATCAACGTGTCTTGATCTGGTAATCACCTAATTATTAAGTTCAGGTCTGTTGGAGAAGAAATGCATAGAAAGGTTCACCATAGTTGCTCTCCAGGACTAGAGCTCGGCACCCCTGAGATAAGCTAACTGTTTTTGTGTCAACCCATGCTACTTAATACATTCTCGGTCTTATCATCGATATTGCAGGTTATTTATTTAATCCAAGAATCACAGCAGGAGGTTTAGTTCAAATTCAGCTGTTCAGACTAGCATCTGGGATATTAAGTAGCTGTTTGAAGCTAACAATATGAACTGTTTTTAAGCTAACCTCTTTTAGCTGCTTCTCTTGTCTGGTACAGTCTGCGTACAGCATGTACAGTTCCATATAAATATGGCATGATGCAAAGTTAATCTTACCATTTTATATTTTAAGCCACGAGTCGCTTAAGCTAATCAACCAATGCTACAGTGAATGTCTTCGTTTGACTCTACACATCTGTAAAACCCGTCATCATTTTACTATTATAGCTTTTTGTGATCTCATTTGTCAGCTCGAGAGGCAAAGATGTGACAGCTAAAATAATTTCTCTGTTAATATATGCTAGCCCAAAAAAAGCTGCACACTAAAGCTAGCTTATACGAAATTCTAGCAAGGAGCAAATCCCTTAACCAATAGGAGGCCAAGAAATCTACAAGCAAAAAGTCAAAAATGATACTGTTAGTAATTAGACGCAACAAGAAATAGCTGCCAGATAATTTCTAGTGTGAAGATAATAACCAAGCTGTGTAACTTTAAAGAACATTCTCTTAATTTATCGCTTTTCAGTACTCGCTACATTCATCCGATAAATCTATTTTTAACAGTGGTGAGCAATTTGAAGTTGTAAATTAGTTTTATCCCATGACATGAAGGGGTCCAAGAAGATCAAGTTTGTTCATCTATAGAAACAATTAGCACTAATAATGGTTAAAGAAACTAAAGGTATAATTAAACACAGATATTGAACATCTATTTTCAGAAAAATGATTAAACTATGTTTCTTGAGTTGGTTTTCAAAGTTGATCAGTTTTCTTTTTGCTAGCTTTCCATTCCTATATGTAGTCATATTTAAACTTTAATTCCCCTGAAAGATTTATTTCTTAGTTTGACAAGGCTTGATTTGTAGCTTTAAGCTCAGGAATCGTTACTTTTACAAGCTAAAATGAGAACGACTAGATTGGGGCCAAACCACTTTTGATATAAAAGCTTAGTGGGGGGGGAGGGAGTTAAAAATGTGGCTGTGGTAAAAATTTCTGACTTTTACATGCAACCCAAAATTTGGATAATTGCCAGTAAATTGCCAGTAAATGCAAGTTTTAAGTAACTTATCTGAATTTTTCTGTTTTTTCATGAAAAACAATCAATGCTCCATGGAGAACAGATGATCACTACAGAAGTTCACAAAATACAAAAACTAGCAATTCTGCTTTGTGTATGTTGTGGTTGATGAGATCAAAAGAGACAATCAAGTAATCAACTGCCACTAATAAACTTGATAGCAGATGAGTTTCTGGGGATTTTGCTGTGGTGTTAGACTTGTATAGTCTGCTCTGGTTCTCATTACAAACCACTTTGACATATTTCATTGTTTCCATTGTTCCTCAAATTCATGTGGTGTTTTCAGATACGTCATAAGCTTTGGAGTTCTTGTACAGGATGAGCCTTTGAGGAACAATTTGATTTAAAAACAGGCGAATTGGGAGGAAAATACAAAAAACGTTCTTGAAACAGATCTGATCATTTGGCTTATGTGGCGTCACTAGAAGAGAAGGCACAGTGAATCTTTGTTTTGAAGGTAGATGTGACCTTGATTTAACCTCAGATATTTTCTTCTTCTGTGGCTCACTGGAGTCCCACAGCCATAGAAATATGTCATTTATCAGTCTGGAAAGGGTTACAGTAATTTAGTTTCCCGTCTTAAACTTCTATAAATCAGGATGTGTTGCTTTACAAGATTGTTTTGCCTACTTCATGATGTCAGAAAGTAATGTCTTGACTCTCTACTCAGGAATCCTCAGCAGGCACTAACCTTTATTTTAAACAATGCACTACTTAGTCTTTGCTTTGCAGATGTGTTATGTGCTCATACTGACATTGAATACCGTCTTTCCTGTGAGGTTTGTATCTGTTTCATTTCTGTGACTCACAGAATCGAGCTGTGAAGCTTTTGCCCACGACTCAACACTGATGATCCTTATAGTCAAAAATGCAAAATATCTTCAACTACATTAAGATAGTAGAAAATGACACTGATACATTTATACTGGCACACAAACAGAGACATTTTTCCCCCAAGAATGCAGCTTTTGTTTGACCTGAAGTAATTTAATCAATTTTCCAAACAATAATATAGAAAGACACAAATATAACGGCCTGAAAGAAACCTGAAGGATTTTTGGAGCAGCGGGCAGGTTTGTCTTTTTCTTCTCTCTAATACAGCCCCCTGCTGGAAACAGTAGAAAAAACTACAAACATAAAGTCAAACCATCGTTTTATTTTTCTGGTGTGCTTGAAAATGAGTTTGTCATCAGCATGCTGCGCAATGCCAAAAAAGATGGCACCATGTACATTCCCATTTGAAAATCTCCCAAACAAGATCTGAAATATTTATATAAATCCTTAGTTCCAGGTGTCTTCATCTTTCCAGATATAAACCTGCTTTTAAATGGCTGACCAACTTTTCAGTCAAAGTATCTCTCGGCATTCTTGAAGCTAAACCGCTGCCTCACTGGTCAAAAGTTCGCAAAAAACAGGACAAGTTCCAAGAAAAATCCTTGAGTTTACAATCAGGATTTTCTTCTTTTGTATGTTGCCTCTCTTCATTATCTCTTAGAAAGAAATTTCATTCTGTTTCCTGGAGGAACCAAAAAAAGAATAATTTAAGGTGGGTCAATTATCTTGTTAAGCTAACTGACTCGAATTGTTCTTACCCAGTCCTTTGAGAAATCTGTTGACCCTCCGGTGTTCATTCTCATTGATGGAGTCCAAATACTCCTGCACTCTCACTTCAAACAGTCCTGTTGATAACAGGGAGGGTCAAAATCATCAACATTCACTCAATCTCCCGAGCCCGAAGCCCTTCTTTCTCCTTTTCGGTACCTCTCAGAGCTTGCCGATGGAGCTCTCTCTCCTGGATAAACCAGCCAAACATCTGGGTCTCCATGAAGACCTCCAAGAAGCGGCGCGCGGTCTTGGAAGGGATCGCTTTCCGGAACCCCTCACGTTGGAACGCGCAGGAAGCGGGAGAGGACGATGAAGAGGAGGAATATCCGTCTTCACGTTCGGCGGTGATGAACAGCGGGTAGTGTCCAACTAACTCCACAAAGAAGCGGACAAAGGCCTCAGACACAACGGTGCTAAGATGACCAGTGTCTAAAAAGAGAAAGAAGAGGTGGAGTTTCATCAAACTTCAAACTTTTCCATGCCATGACCTCTTCAATAGCATTAGCTTGTGGCAGGAACCCCCTTTGCAAACACATAGAAAATGCTAAAAAACATCTAAAGAACTTTTTTATCACTTTTATGCTCTATTCAATAATTGATGCATTCTTAAATAAAAACCTTTTGATTTTAGTTGACCATGAGTTCTTAGAGGGGTTTTTTCTTTTTTTTATTTTGAATCTATGGTTTCTGTTTAACTTTAAGTATTTCTCAAAGAAATGTGTGTAATCTCAAATGGGTTTCAACCGAAATCAGAGGTATATTTAAGTTATGTTTGGGGGAAGTCGTAAACTGTTAATATTTTACCTGCAGTGGCTCTTGGCCCTGTTCATTCATTACACATTTAGATTGACGGTTCTGGTCAGAGTGCCTGAAGCAAATTTTTAGTGAATGCTAATTTATTGATTGTTTTTTGAACTGTCTTAATTTCTTATTTCCATATCAGGCAGGTCTGGGATAATCCTAGTGGGAATAACTTTACGATTGTTTCTTTTCTATTCTTCTGCGTCTATGATCCAGAGCATTATCACTCTCCAAGAGTCCGTAACGAAAACATTGTATGTCTTTGTTCAGCTGAGCTAAAAATAGAAGAGTATATAGTCTTCAAGGTCAAAGTGACTCATATGAATGCACCAGAATAGGGCATAATAATTATGAAGGTAATAAAGGGACGGGTCAGTGACTCGGAATGCCCTTTTATTTACCTTAACGGCCCTATCAGCAACTTATAACAATGAAACCCAGGATAACTGAAGAAGCCTTTAGATTAAGAAACTAAACATAAGATATTGACTGTTTGGAGCCTTTTTCATATAATCATACTTTCACAGACTGATCACTATAAAGCCCTGTTTTGTCTCACCACTGATTGAGTCTGCTCCTCTGTCGTTAGCAAGTTCTCTTCTTCTTTCTAGAACATTCTCCAGAGCTGACTGAAGCTTAGAGGGCAGTATTGAGTCCTCATCATCCAACTAAATGTGCAATAGAGAAATATTATTTACAAGAAGGCCAATGCGTGTCCTTATTCGTAAAGATCACTTAAAATTTTGAAATATGCATTCACCTGTCTGAGAAGTCGATTATTGCCGAGATCCACGACAAGAACCTGCACACAGAAAAACCAAGTGGTGTTATCTTTATCCAGCAAACATAAAACTGTACAGATAAACAAACCAAAGCAAGAATAAGTTTCAGATGCAAAATTTAAAGGGGCAGCATTATGTATTTTCCAGACTCATAGAAGCAGTTTTTAGCACAATCTAGTCACTGGTACCTCCAGTTGTTATAAAAATGACTTAAAAGAAAATTGACTTTTTAATTCAACATCTTGAAATTGGGCCTCTGGGTCTTTAAAAATTGCTGCTCTTCCTGAAACTCAATCTTCAGGAAGTCATCACAACATTCCTCCTCTATTAACCCTTTAACAGCACTTTTACCAGTGCTATACTGAGAAGTAGAAGCGCATAAGGTGTTTGCTAATTGCTGCAGACTAGTCTGAAGGAGCTGAGTGGGAGGATGGCAGGAGAGAGCAGAAGAGAGGCGGAAACTCGGAAACGGCTCTGAGGAGGATCTAGATTTCAAAGGCGGCGCTAGACTCACCCAGTTGTCACATTTTGCACAACTGAATGGTTGCCACGGGAGATTAAAAGATTCCTCAAACACGCAGGAAAGAATCAAGGTATGATTTGATGAGGGAATAACATTATGACATGATGTACAGCTCAAAAAGTCAATTTTACATAATACTGCCCCTTTAAGCTTTGCTGCCTGTCCCTCTGATCTGACCTCCTCCAGGGGAAGCTCGTTGAGTTGGGTTAAAGAGCTGGACAGCAGGCCGACAATGAAAGGGGTCGGAGTGCAGACGATGTCCAACATGGCGGAGGGCAGCACCGGGATGTAGGTGTGCTGCCAGATGAAGGGGTAGAGCAGAGCAACGACTGCGTGGCAGCACTGGGAGAGGGTACTGCAAGGACATGGAATTAAGCCGTGAAATGATGCTGGAGGATTTAATGGAAGAACACTTTTCCACCACTAGAGGGTGCCAAAGCTCAACACTTCTCAGGGAAAATCAAACGCCACCATTTCTGGCTTTTCCCAGAGGAGCAAACAAACCGGCCAACAATTCATCCACCAGATCCAGATGTCACTCTTGCATGAGCTCCTAATCCCTGGGATGCCTTACATTTATTTAAAAACATTGCTCTGGACCACCCACAATTTATCCAACTTCATAATGACAACATCCCAGAGATGCATGTCCCCCCCACCCCCTCAGGGAACAGTCCCACCAGCACAGTTTAATAAACACTGAAAGGAGGGCGTCTGGAACAAAATCTAATTCCAAAGAGATTTTTCTTGCTGGGAAGCTTGAGGAAATTGGTCACACTGAACGCGAATGCGCCCACCTGAGCTTATCAGCGGTGAAGATCACTCTTCTCTCCAGCAGCAGAGAGCTGAACACGCGGAGGAGCAGCCGCAGACTCAAACAGGAGAACAGGCATTCAAAGTCCACATGCTCTAGACGGGAGTCAGATGGCCGGCAGAGCTCCATCACCTGCACATTAAATACACTTTACCATAAACACCATTTAAAACTTGATGCAAAAATGAGTAATGGGTGATTTTGGCAAACCAAAAATATTAATGAAACATCACCGGGATTCCTCAAAATAAGTTCTGTGTCATAATTGATACATTGAACAATTCAAACTGCTGAAAGTGACTTGCATACAAAGATGGATTATCACAGAGTTGATGGAAAATGCATTGAAAGGCATTCCTTAATGTTCTGCATGTGTTTTGTCTTTTTGTCTCACCTCAGTGCCAGAACCAGGGAGGAAGGTTTTGATGTTGATGGTTCTTCCTGGAGCTGGAAACTGGGCTTCCATGATGGCTCTCATAAATGGCTGGACCAGAGCTGGGGAGAGAGCTCGCCGCCTCTCCACTTCATCCAACACCTGCCAAGTACGAAAGTACACTAAAGTCCTGCAATGCAGCAGCGTCGGTTCCGCGGTAGCAGGCGTTTTACCTTGGAGAACAGGTTGAAACAGCCGAGGTGACTAACGATGCAATAAACCTCCGGCAGGCGCTGGCCTTTTCCACTGGGCTGAAACACAGGAGAAAACTCACTTCCATTTGCTCAAAAACAGACACATTTGTCGCATCTTGAAACGTCAAAGGTCATCAGTGGAACTCTAGACGCATTAGGGTTTGACAAAGTGAGCCCACTCCCTTTGGAGATCCATAAACAGGACCATATGCACACTTTCACATGCGGAGTACGGTTCCCAGTCTCGGACACTTCCGCCTCGGCTCTGAGATGGGCCGTTTTCCCACAGGCACGTCCACCATTTTGGCATGTTTATTTACTCAGCCGACATTTGGTATTCAGCCACTTCCTGTTCAGTGACGTCACTTTTATTTACCCCGCTCGTTGATATTTACCAGTAAGCGGCGGCAGTATCCGAACCGCCTGCTGCCGTCCTCGCCGGTCAAAACAAAGGAGAACATCTCACTGTGAAATTGAAAATAAAAGCATAATCTGTATAGTTTTTTATTGCATTAGCTATAATTTACATTCCAGTAGAAGGCAATAAGAGTTGTGTCACATTGTAGAGTTTTCACCTTGGGTACATCTCCACAGGCCCCCAGTTTTTTGCGTCGGGGAAACAGAACTGAGGGATGATCTTCAGCTGATCCTCCGTCTCCCTCAGGAACTTGAAGCTTTGCTCCAACTGCAACATATATGAAAACAACTGAGTGGATTTTCTTTATTTTTAAAAATAAATTTCATCTTAACGCTATAGAATAGTAGGGTCCAGGTAGATAATCCAATTCTGTCTTGACCCCTGGATTAACATGAACAAATTAACAAATAAAAGATTTTTTTCATGCTAAAACCACAAACTTGAGCATATTTAATATGGATTTTATGCGATAGACAAACAAAACACAATGCATAATTGCAGGGTGAAACTTGTGGCATTTAAATATTCTAAAAAAAAATGAGACATGAATTTTTCACTGTCGCCTTTACTCTTATATCCCTAAATAAAATCCAGTGCTACCAATTGCCTTCAGAAAGCAATAAACAGCATCCTTACGATCAAGGAACGCTGCAGAAAAGTCAGAAAGAAAAAGTTGCAAAGAAGGTTAAAGTAGAGTTAGGCTATGTAACAATATCACTGACTTTTTGAACATTTCAAAAAGCTCAGTTCAAAATGAAAACAACATGGCGTAAATAGAAAGACCTGGTCGCTCAACAGGCCGTTACAGCAGAAATCAGTTTCACCTACTAGCATAAACTCTGCAGATACCACCATGCCCTGGGTCTGCTTTTATCTGGAGGTATCAGAAAATTGTTCGGTTTTTTTTATGTATAATTTTCTGTCCAGTTCGTGGATCAGATGCTACTTTGTGTTGTTCAAGCAAAGAAATCATTAGTTTGTGGAAAAATTCAAGGGGTGTGAATACTTTGAAAGAAACTGTACATAAACTAACAGACCTGAGGATTTATTTTTGTTGATCACATTCAATCATAAATCAAGTTAAGGTTCATATATGTTGTGTTTGGATTGGCGCCTTGCTATACGCCAGCAAGCCCAATAATCATAAAGTTAATTTTTTTTTCAAACTAGACGACTTTAGTGCTTCTCTGCTGACCTTAAGGGGGAACTGCTGTGTGACTTCTGGCATATAGTGGTCGCCGACCTTTGACTTCTGCAGTGAAACAACGAGGAAGTACTCAAACAGCTTGCGTTGGTGCCGCTCCTGATCCAGAGAGCGGCTTCTGGTGGTGGAGTCGTTGTAGTGGACCTGCGTCTTTCTCGGCTGCCTCAGGAGAGATCGAACTGGAACAGCACACAAAGATAAGATCGATTTAAAGATGGCTGCACAAAATAAACAAGACATGGACGGCCTTGTGAAAGCATTCATACCTCTTGAGCTACGAAGGTTTTTGTAATGTACTGTAAAAATCACACCTTACCTTTTAATCTGTCTTCAACTTCACTCTCAGAGTCGCTGTTCTCATCAGTTACTGCGAACAAAAGCCAAACAATCTACATTGCTGTCCCAAATATAAAAAGAACTCAACTGTAATTTTTCAGAGCAAAATAAACACTAAAACCTCTTCCAGAAAGAGTTTCGGCGTAGTGATACATCCTTCGCAGCTGTTTTTTTCTGCTCCGACCCTCAAATATACTGTTGATTTTCAGCACAACCTATTGCGGAGGGAAAAGGGTTGAATCAGTGTCAAGAAATACAGTTTTCCCAAAAGTATTTATCCTGTGATTTGCAATGCAGACTGTTGGTATCCTCCGGCAGGTGCGGCTGTAGGGATCCCCTGGGATCCAGGCGCCGTGTTCAGGCCCGGGCGGGGTGGAGGGCGGGCTGAGCTGGGGCGGAGATGAAACACCTCCGCTGTTGATGCCGTGGGCCGACTGGTTGGTTCTCTTCAGGTCCAGTAGCTTGAAGCTTCTGCCTGAGTTCTGTCTGAAGAAACCAGGTCTGGATGCCTAACGACAGAAAAACGTTACGATAACCTCGTTTAAGTTGCGTCTGCCTCGTGCTTTTTCTGTTTGTGAACCTTTGCTGTATCGGCACCAGGAGATGAGGGGACAGACTGCTGCGAACACTGACTCTCCAACTCTATGTCTTCATATGGGTTCTCATTGGATGAGTCTGCAGAAACAAACATATGTTTATATAATATTTCTTAGAATATGTAGACATGGTGGTATGGCCCTCGACACAGAGTTATGCCCATAAATGCTTCTAGAAAATAGAGAAAGTGAAAATGTTCAATCACCAAAAGCTAAAGGGGGCAATAAATTAAATGAATCAGTTGTCTGACCCAAGATGTCTTCATAGTGATGTTCCTGAGACAAGGGGCAGGTGAAAACTGGGCTGGGTGACCTTGTACGGTCTTCAAGGTCAAATGGTTTCCTGTCACAGTTGGCACAAAAGTGCAAATTACTTAGATAATCTCAGTGGATTTTGTTTAATACTTTGATATAATCTTCCCAGAAGCGTCACTGATTTGGTTTCAAACCATTCGTACCTGTTGTTAAGGTACCTGTCTGCCCTGAGTTTCCCATAGTAACCACAGGGGGGCTTTGAGGATGCCTTAGAGGAAATGGATGGCAGCGGAGGGAGGTTCCTCTTCCCTCTCCCCTCCTTCGAACTCGTTCCCATGGAGGCAGTCGCTGGATGTTGAAAGGTACGCTTGGGTTTGGGTACTGGATTGATGGGGAGGGCACCCGGCTCCGTGTACACGTTCTCCTGATTCTCCCTCCCTTCTCCATCCCACAAAGATCTACTCTCAGCTGAATCATTAAGTTCTTTCTTTTTCACCTCGACTTTTTTGTCCTTGCCCGGTGGGCTGAAGTAGTTTCCAAGCTCTGCGGGGGCTTTGCCATGGTTCTCCCCCAAAGTCTCCAGTTTCTTGAAAAGAGTAAACACTGCTCTCGTCTCCTCACTGGTTTGTTCTGACGATTTCTTTTCACTGCTCTTTTTTAGCATCCCAACTTGCTGTTTCTCAGTCGCTGGTGGAGAACAAGGCCTTGAATCATCACTAAGAGCGACTCTGTGACCTGCGTTTCTCTTGTCAGTTTTTGCTGTGTTGTCTCTGGACCTAGAGCTTGGATTGATCACTTGGGGCTGATTCCCAGGTAAGTGAGGCGAACAAGGAGTTGAATCATCTCGAGGAGTTTCTTTGCGACCTGTATGTCTCTTGGAGGCAGTCTTTTCACTGCTTTCACTAGAACTACTGCCACTATTAGCCACTCGAGGTTGTTTTGGCAGTTCATCAGGGGAACAAGGTCTTGAATTGTCACGCATTAATACATTTTCTTTCCCAAGGTCCTTCTCCTTAGTGGCTACTGTCCTGGTACTTTCAGTCCTTTGCTTAGCCACAGTTTTGCTGCTGCCATTTGTCAAGGAGTCGGTTCCTTTAATGCTTGCACACTTGCTCAAACTACTTGAAGTTAAATGTGAAAGAGTGGATTCTTTGTTCTCCCACAGAGAAATCTTGTCCTTGATGTTTCCCCCATTGGATCTTGGAAGTTTGGTTCTGACGGTGGTGCTGTCGGTGGGGTAGAGATCACAAACTGGTCTCCTGAAATCCATCTTTGACGAATCTTCACTCTGGTTCCACAGGTTGTCTAAAGGTGCAAAAGGTTGTTTTTTTGTCTGTTTTATTTTTTGCCCAATGTCCTCTATTTCCACTGTCACACTTCTTCCTCGAAGAAAGCCCAACTTTTGCCTAAACAAAGGATAAAAGCACACTTTTAGCTTTTGATTCATAATGAATTGGTCAGTCTTATAGCGTGCCAGAAATAAAATAAATGTACACTTCTAACTTTTACAGAAACAAACCCGCCAGAGTTTCCTGAACTTCTCATGCGTTCAGTGGGACGACCATTCATAGGACGCTCAGTTTTCATGGTGACAGTGGAAAAACTGAGCCTGAGAGTAAATGCCAGAGGGGAAACTCATGATCATCTTTTTCTCATCATCTTTGCAAAATAAACACATTCTTGGGCTGGGGCCAAATTTTGCTGGACTGTTAAGTTTTAATAAATAAACTAGAGGAAATGGGAAGCCCCAAGTTTAAGGACCTTCTATGGATGGGAGGATTAAAGGCCAGCTGGATGCTTTTCCTCATTTCTCAGGCTTGGAAAGGGAAATGTTTTGCATCTTTGAAATTCATACAGGTTCCACTGTTTTGTATTGACCTCCTTATGGGCAAAATGCTTAGAAACATTGTATTTTTGGCATATTTCTATCTATTCCTTTAGTAGAATAGCTAAACAATTTCATACTTGTTTGCAGCTTCCTCGATTTTTGCAAAACGTTACCAGCATTATTTTCATAAAGTGACTGAATCAGAAAAGATTTTACACTTTTTCCCATATATCACCTCATATTTCTATCTATTATATATTGAAACTGATATCCACATGGAGTAATATTATATAAACAAGCCTCTCTTTCTTAGACTTTTTTTAGTCTGTGAAAGTAATTGTCTTCATTTATGCCCTAATTTATTAATCACATCTGGGAGAACAGGTTTCAGGTAAGGTGCACCTTTATGCAGATGACTCTGTATTTAAAGGTCACTATGGTGATTATTCATATACATGCAGTCAGTTGCTGGTTCAACTTCCCACTGGTGAAATCATTTACAGTTGAGGTTAAAACAATAATCTGGGCTTTCGTACAAACCTGTCGACAGCTGTGGTGATTCTCTCAGCAGCCTCCATGATCACTGGACACCTGCAATAGTCAGAGTCAATTGTTTTGGATAGTTTACAATAACATATTGCTCCTAAAATTAAATTTCACAGCATTCATCTCAATCGATCAAAAGGAGTTGGCCAAATTCAACGAAAACACCACTGTATGACATGGTCAGGAATTCATGATGAATCTCTCTCGTCTGCTTTTTCGTTAATTTAAAGCTAATTCCTCTGTCACTTAGTCACTGCACTGGTCAAAAGCTAGCCTCCTGTGAGGACAAACATGCTCGGCATACTTTCACATGTCTCCAGGGCCAACAATTTAAAGTTCAGTGTCCTCCAAGATAGCACTTGGCCATTTCCCAGATCTGTGACTGCTGTTACCGTTTACAGTCACTGTGACGGTGTACATGAGCGGAGGGACAGCAAGCATCTTTAGAGAAGACGTAGAGAAGAAACACAGATACATATTGGCATTTTAAAGAAAAAGACGGTCAGGAGAACCCAGAGTGACATTATTGATTTTTACCAGAAGAGTAAAAAGTAGAAACAAACCCCACAACCTTCTGCTTTGATCCCATCTCAAGCATTCTTTTTTTAAACAGCAACTTGTGCAACAAACATGACAAATACCGACAGTGGAAATAACTTGCAAACAAACCAGGAACAGTGAACAACCTAAGAACAATATTTCTGTCACCATATTGTAAAATCATTTCTCACCTCCATCCATTTGATAAAACTGTGGCTGGCTGTATTTGCGGCTCCTATATCCATGTCCATCGGTGCAGCGTCCAGACCCCAGCAGCGTTCCATATGTAAAGACAGTCTGACAGGCTTCCCAACTTCACTCAAACCTTGAGCAGATGGTAAAAAGTTTCTCTCTCCAACTAACAAACTCTTCCTCTCTCCCCTCCACTGACTCTCTTCCAATCTGCAGCTTTCATTCACCCTCACTCTCCCACAACTCTGGATGCAGCTTCCTGCTCCTCTCCCTTCTTTGACTTGCTGCGTGCCCCTCTCACAGCTGAACAAGCAGAATGAATGGCTGTGTCCCGATGCTCCCTGCAACGATTCAGAAGCCACATTTTTAACCCGTGGCTGCGGGAGAATTTGTTCCATGGGACACGCATCGTCACATTAAATCACCTCCCTACCAAATTTGAAGTTTGTTGGAATTTCTGTCCCAGCTGTTCCTGCACTATGGTTGCTTACGCAGCTGCAGCAGATCAGATTTTTTGTGAAGAATTTCCAGTGCATAATCCTTTGATTTCCACTTTACATCTTCTTTGCTTTAGTCTAGAATATAACATTTCTTAAGAAGCATTGAAGTTTGTTGTAATGTGACAAAAAATGTTGAAAGGAGTTAACAGTCTTTGCTAGACACTGTTAATATTATGCTAGATTTGGGAGCATAAAATGCTTCCACAACTAATAGAGCAAAAAGGTGGCTCAATAACTAACTAAATAACTGGTTTTAAAATGCATGAAGTTGCTTGAGAGCCAACAGCAGTTGTTTCAACCATCAGGAGGAGCACCAACATGAGGCCTCTTGTCTAAGCAGCTGGCTATGGCAAGCCATTTGTGTAAAAATTCACAATTTTATTCAGGCCCCTTGAATCAGTTTTTTTTTTTTGTTTGTTTTTTTGGAGAACCACTGCCAGGTCACTCTTCTAAAAGAGACCTTGGATAAATTACTTAATTAAATCTACTTCTGTTTTTGTGTTAATTACTATATATATGTAAATATTTATTTGTAGGTTTTGTTTAATAAATGTTATTGTATAGGTTAGGTGGACGATGAGTGGGCCCTCAAATTGAATTCTGCTTAGGAGCATGTCACTTTGACCAGGGGAGGCTCTGCGTTCAGGAAAGGAGGCGAGGCAACAGAATGCAGTCCAGATGGATTTATTTAAAAGCTGCAGGTCACATTTGAACCGACACCCACTTTCACAGTGAGACAGACGCTGGCTTTTATACTTTGGGCAATTCCAACACTCGTACCAGGTAAAAGGGTGATAAAACAAAAGAAATAAAGATTTATACACAAACCTAACACAAAACAATAAATGGTACCAATAAATATTTACATGCATGCAAATCATTACTAAACTAATCAATCAAAGAATAAATTTAACTAAGTATAACCCCTCAAAGTACTACCCTTCTTAATTGTAATGGTATGCTCCAGGAGCTTTTTAACAGCACCTGGAGCATTTGTCCTCTTTTGCTGCTCCACCCTGCTGAGGAGACACATCCAGTCAAGGTAAGCACTTAAACAATTAGCAAGCTCAAATTACGCCAATAGAAATGAGAATCAAACTGACGTTTTACCCACAATCTCCCTGTACAGGACGGATGGCCAGTCTGACTGTTTGAAAGAATGTTTAACCTAATGTCAATGTAACTGAAATAAAGAACTGAAACGAAAAGCATTTGATCTGTAAATAAACTAATCAACATAATATCAATAATCATTTAAGGATATGGCATATTTATACTTTATACTATATTATATATTTATGTAATAGACTTCTTAGTCCAAATTTCGTACCCCAAAAGTAATAATAATTCTTGAATCCTTGAATATTTATCTAAATAGCTTACCAGATTTCTGTCTCTTCATCCACCATGATCTGTGTATGAACGTATTTTCACTCCTGTCCTGCAGGTGGCAGTAGAGTGGCACTCTTCGCAGCGGTCTGTGCCTTTGAACAGTGGCAAAGAAATTCACAGTAAACATAGACGTACAGTCGCTATATCTAGAGTAAACAGGACTCGGAGGACCTCTACAGAAAGGTGAGACCTTCTGTTTGTTTCTTGACCGTAGCTTAGTGATTATTGCGTAGCTTTTTATAAAGACTTTTATGTTAAATGAACCCGGAACTGACAATTTATATAGCTTCTGAAGCTAAGAGATCATGTGCCATGTCACTCACTGGCATATGTGGCAAATGCAGCTGTGGGAATAATAAAAGTGTGGAAGTGAAAAGTACATCTTAATATAGCAACCAGAAAATAACGCATTATCGCTTACGTATTTATCAGATACAAAATATTTCTGTGAAGACAAAGAGGGCACAGCAAAATCTGAGTGATATACAAAAAGCTGATATCGACCGCAGTGATACATAATCAGTGTGAGGAAACAAAACGTATTGGTGTCTCTAAACCTGAAAAGAAACGGCTCAAGCTGCTGTAGATGCACACCTATTTTAGCTCTTTCAATTGAAAATACATGCATCAGTTACTGAAATATGTAAGATTTTAATATTTAAGAAGAACAGTGATCCCCTGAGCTGATCAGGACGAAGCTTCCTTTTTTTTTTTTTAGGAGTTGGGGACTCTTCTGGATGCAACATGAACCTGCTGGGGGGGTGTAGCAGTTTTAAGTCGGTCAGCCTCCCCTCACTGGAGCCATTGATAGGTGGCTTTGGCTGCACATAGGGCAGCATTCAGACCAGGTATATCTCTTGAAAGGCAGAACAATGGCTTCTTTCAGGGAAATGTTCATGTTAAAAAATCTGTAATTTTTCCGTTAGATAATTGTTTTGAACAAAATCACAAATGACAATGCCAACACCCACAACAGCCCTCTTTAAATTAAACGTGGCATCTGATTTAATTTATGCTTGTTTTTAAAGTTAATCAGACTGTCTTGGAACTTGTTAGTAATTTATGACTTTGTTTTGCTATAAATGATATGGCTATTTCCACATCTTTTCCAGGAGTGCCAATAAAGGTCTACTTCCTTTTTTTTTTTTTCTTTTTTGCCATAAAGAGTTTTGTTCAATAAATGAATTTAATTTGGACCTCTTTCCTCTGCAGGCACACCTTTCTTCCTGTAGTGATGCGTTTGTCTCATCTGAGTTAGTAGTGGAGGTCTTCATGTAAGCCTCCCCCTCCCTGTCCTGCAAAGACCTCCACTGACCTGACACCACCTCCTTCTTCCTCCTCTGCCTCCTCTTCCTCCCCTCCAGCTGCCCCTGTGATGCCTCCCTCGTGCTTTGGCTGTCTGTCACAGTACACCCATCATCATCTGGTGGTCTTCCTCCTCACCTTCTTTAGGTAATCTAGAAAATGGGCTGGTGATGTCATGCTTATTGCTTTCTTTTAGGGACTATACTGTAACTGACTTTTAAATTTAGTGAAAGTTTGTCTGCTCAGCCTAAACACATCGTTTGCTGTTCTTTGGGGGTCAAACTTCCAGCCCCAAGTATGGATTTGCGTTTATCTTTTCTGCTAGGTTGAGCCAATTTTCCATTCCAATTTCACAGTTTTGACTGTTTAGTTCAACTTAAGCCTAATGGCAGATAAGCTGCTCCCTTTCCACTTCAACATGACACACCTTCACATTCTCTGAGAATTTCCCAGGTGCTTGGTCGCCCTAAATATTTTAGGCCTTGCAAAATGTTTCCCGTCCCTTCAGCTTTTTCACGTTTTGTCACGTTACAGCCTCAAACTTCAACGTCGCAACTCTACAGGATTGACAAACAGAAATTTTCACAAAACCATGACTTGGAATGAAAATATGTTGTAAATCACTTTGAATAGTTATTTTCATTTTATTTTAGTTGTAACTTCAGATTTTCAATTCTGTGTTCGTCTTTATTAGTTTTAACCAGCTGTTTTAGTATTAAATTTTTTTGAGAATGCTTAGTTTCAGTTTAGTTTTTATTAGTTCCAGTTATAGTTTGGTTTTTGTCTGTTACATAACGGGGGCAAGGCAGAAAATTTAATTTTTGGGTAGCAAAATCTTTAAAAAAAAAAAAAAAAAAAAAAAAAAAAATTTTTTTAAAAAAAATTTTTTATTTTAGAATAAATCAAC